ACCTTGGAGTTGATAAATGTATGGTTTTGTCGTTGACAAAGTGCATACAATATCATATCTGTTAGTCATAGCCGTCCTAAGTCAGCAATGATGCACAGCTACTGTAGGCCATACTCAGCTACCAGTGCTCAAAATTGTTCATATTTTCCAGTCAGTCCGTGACGTTAAGATGTGACGGGAAATGTGAGGAATGCATGACATGCCACTGATTGGCCGCACATTACATACTTGTGCAGCACAGTTATGCTTTCAACTTAAAAACTAAATGAACGCCAATTTGTGAGCTCCTATTTGTTTTAAACTATTTGACTAATATTTTCAATAATTATTTTGAAAGATTTTTTGAGACTAATTAATTATGGAAGTATTTTAGTAAAACTATTACTACTGCATATCATACATGACATTATACGTATTTATAGGTTATAGCAATGAATTTACAGACTTTATTAAAGCACTTTTGTTTGAGTAAAAAAGTTAATTCACACTTCTATACAAACAACTATGAAATTTAAATAACATTTCTATTTTTATAGTTCATTCAATACAACAAACTTAATTGTATTTTAGATAAAATTGACAAAAATTAATTGATTTTGAGATGACTGGAGTGGTTGTGAAAGCATAGCATTGACTGAATCCATGTGAGAGACAGTATGGGATGTGTTATCCAATTCCCACAAACGTGTGCTCTCTTCCAGGCATTCAAAAGCTTTGTTTCATTTCATAAAATTGATATAAATATAGATTTTCCTAATCATGAAATTGGAGACAAGAGTTTCAAATGTCGAGTGAATAATATATTCTATATTTTTCTACAATTCATATAAAGAAATAATAACCGGAGGAAAGAATTAGAAAGAATCAAATAATAAAGTTATGGCAATTTGAGAGCCTCTTAATTCAGAGCCCAGTCTTTTCAAAGCCGACGCTTTCCTATCACTGGATATTACCAAAAATTAATCATTGACTAAACATGTGCCTATTTTCCCATTTTATATTACCAGAATCAGTTTGAGAGAGAGAGAGAGAGAGAGAGAGAGAGAGAGAATAGAATATATTATTCACTCGACATTTGAAACTCTTGTCTCCAATTTCATGATTAGGAAAATCTATATTTATATCAATTTTATGAAATGAAACAAAGCTTTTGAATGCCTGGAAGAGAGAGAGAGAGAGAGAGAGATCTAAACTCGTATATCAAGCTATGGTACAAAAGCTCTTACTCTTTAGGAAAAACTTTGCAATTTAGAGATAATGTGTTTGAGTTATATTGAATCGCAAAGCAGAACAATCCAATGCTGTGGCTGTAGTCTAAGCTGCAGTGTGTGTGATAGGGCTGTGGAGGCTGTTTGTGCTACGAATGCCTTTCCATTTTGTAGGTCTGGTTACGCTTTATTAAGTGAGAAACGGTGCAGAACGCATCCACCAAAATGTCAAACTCTTACACAACTCTATTATCTTCTCCTTGTCTTTCATAGGAGCCTTTCTCTCAACTCTAAGACATGCACTAAATTGAGTGATAATTCGCTTTTTATTATAATTTCAAAGCAATTATTTTTGTCTCAATAAATCTCAATCATATCTAATTATTAATCAAAATTTCAAATTATTATTCTGTATTCTATTATAAGTTAATTGAATTCAGTATTATGTGGTAATTATCTAGGAACCCATGTTTTTTAAATTCCCAGTTTATATTAATGACTGATATTTAGTTTAAATACTGGATATTAATATGAGAGCAAAAAATGTGAAATTGTTTTGCGAAACATGTCTTAAGGAGGACTCATAACTAATAATCTCTTTCATGAAATATTAGATGCGTTTGTTTTTGAGTTATATATGAAATACGATGTGCTGGCTGTCTCGTCATCAAAGATGACTGATTTGAATGAGAGGCCCATCGCATCCATTTCCACGACCAGAATCCGTGTCACACTACATGAGAATCGCAGCACTGGTAGCTTTAAATGCAGTGATGCTTATGATGGTGGTCTTGTTATACAGTTGAGTCTTGTGGGACGACACCAACTGCTCTCAAAGTATTAATGTCAGAGAAGGTATAGTGAGAGTCTGTGAGCGTTTCAATTGTTTCCATAATAGGTTCCTCTATTGCACTCTAATATCAATAGTTAGTGAGACGAATGGGCTTTGAATCGATCACTCGATTGCTTTGAACCGAATATTTAAAGAGTGGCGGAAACTGCTGTTCATTCACTCTATTTGCTATAAAAATTTAATTTCTTTTTGCATATTATATACTGTATGAGAAGTGTTACACAAATGTCATACAACTCATTGACCAGAATTGAAATAACACTAAAGAGGACTAATAGGAGATGTGTAGAAATAATTGTGATTATAGGCTAAGTCACTATGGATTGCAATGAATTGAGTCAAGCGTTTGGATTGATTTCGCTGGGGATGAGTTGAGCCTCTCATTAAGGGTTGTATTGTCCGTTAGTGTCGTTAGTATTGCGCATAATTTGTCCTAAAGTTATATCAGGCGTTGAATCCCAAGAGAGTGAAAGAGAGAGCAAAGCTAACAGTGAGGGCTAATACAAGTCTAATACAACTCCTAAATAGCTACTATTTTTCACTTTATCCGGTTAATGGCTATAACACATACATTCAATTCCTATTATTTCCATTATTGTCTCTTATGCACACTCCCAGTGACACACCAGCCGTACCGGTCATACCATCGTTACGATTGCTTTGACGGCCAAATTTGCCACAAACTCATTGCAGTAAATATCAGGCAATCATTAGACATACAATGATTCGTTGTATTGTCGATTCAAACTTACAACTTAGTGCTTACTTATACTAATACTGTACTACCAGTGCTATACTACCAGTGCTTGTGGGATGTGAGGACTGAGTGAGGAGCAGATGTGAGATGAGTTCGCATACGCTATGCTATGCTATGGTCTAAGTTTGGGGAAGCACTCAAATATTCATTGAATGACATATCATACCAGTGCCGCACACATTAGATTCAAGTAATTCCTAAATTCATTTAATAAATTGTTTGCCAACTATTTGAAACGCAAAAAAGTAAATATAAATACTTTAAAAGAAATTTAAGTAGAAGTAATTTTTATAAAAACTTTTCCTATTATTTGTCTATTTGTGAAAAACGATATCATTTTGAAAATAAGAATAGCAATGAAAAAGTGAATTATATTTATTATTATAGTATAAGTTATAGAGATATCAATTGAATTGAAGTCAAAGCCGAGTTGAATGCAGTGGCAGAACAGGTGCAGCCGTTTATCAGAAATCAATATAAGCCTAAAAGTGTAGTAGAGATGCGTTTTTATGCAGTTATTTGTGTATAGAGTATATAGAATGGAGTGGAAGAGGAGGCAAAGGAGGCAAAGGCTATATTAATACAGTATATAGCATTCAATTGCATTAAGCTTTCAATCTGTGAGCACTTAAATAGATAGTAAGCCTAAATCATTGAGCCATAGATGATAGAAATGTTATATAAGAATAGTATCGCTATTATTGGGTTGAAAAGCATAAGAACGTCAAACATCACATCACTTTAGGACATCTGAGTGTAAGCTTCACAGCATATAAAGCATTCAAAGCATACAAACACACAAATTCTCCAATAAAATCGACTTGTATTTCGCTAATGTTGGCCCTGTTTTAAGCCAATTATAGGCTTGACTTCATTCTCAAAAAGCGGCCAATTATTGAACTCAATGCACACAACTGTTCACTATATGTATCATATTAGTTGTCTAACAGCTCTCTCTCTCTCTCTCTCTCTCTCTCTCTCTCTCTCCATCCTCTCCATCGTTCACGCATTAGATGACAAATAGTAGTCCAAAATGACTGCTTATTATATATATATTGTGGAGAGAGAGAGAGAGAGAGAGAGAGAGAGAGAGAGTTTGATGGTTAAATTCTCTTGAGCGCCATCAGATCAAATAGCTGATGGCTGAGCCCACGATACCGAAGCCAATTTGCGATCGCCTAACCATCGACTTGTGCCTTACATTATATGCAATCTATACCTTGGTAGTGGAACTGTATGTATGATTACGGGAGTGGGCGCTTGCGTTCATCATTTGCGCTGCTGTGCTAAACGCCCAGCGATGCATAATTTGGTTGCCTTAACCCACTATAATGCTATTGTAACTCAATATGTGTCGTGATTGCTATAACCATCATCATTATTATTGATAGCTGTGATACCATCAATACCATCGCTACAGTGCAACTCTGCCAACACTACCGACACATAACGCTTACAACTGATAGAGCGCTCAAATAAATGCATTCTCACTCTATAACTGCTTATATGAGCTCAAGTGTCTCTCTCTTACAAAATTGTTCTGCAAATTACATCCCAGTGCCAGAGAAAGAGGTTAACACACACTCAGTAAACGCATAACAATTGCCAAACAATGCATGCAATGGATCCAAATTAGAAGTTTTCAAAAGCTAACGATTACTCAAAAACAACTCAAATCAAAGTTTTGCACACAATTCTCAACCATCTAATTGTCATCTATTCTTACGTTAAGTGATATATTGTTGAGTTAAACATAATATTTGCAATACTTACAAACTTTTACCACTTCTTTCTTATAATTTTATTTGATTCTTACGATAGATATAGTTAGCGCTACGAAACCATTTTGCGATAATCCTATGAATGCATCACTTAATTTACAGTAATATTCAATAAATCAATGTTTTTAAAAGAGTAAAAAATATATTTTCCACATATTAATAATGAGAAAAAATTATTATTTATATTAAGCGTTTGAATCACATTTGCATAATTACGTAAATAATGCATAGAGTAATGCACATTAAATACAATTAGTTTTGGTTAATAATTTATATACAAAGTTTCATTGCTTTAGATAAGCTGTACATAAAAACTAATTGAAAATGTTTTGATGAAATAAGAAAAAATGATTAAACACTGGTTTTCGTTCAAAAATACACATAACATGCCTGTTCGTTCATGTGTGTCCCAAGTGATGCATAAGCGGGTGATGACCGAAGTGTTGGGCCGCCGATGAGAGCACAGCCGCCGCCGCAGGAAATGATAGCGAAGCGCCGCTCGCGTTCATGAATGGCGACAGTTGTGACTGAGATAGTTGTGATGCATAGAGGAGGGCAGCCGTGGGGTACGCACCCGACACAAACGAGGGCGACCCCGACTGCATTGGCCCACAAACACTGCCATTGGGCGACTGAGGAATGGTCGGACTGTTCGCATCCATACCCGGGTTCTGTTTCTTCCATTTCGTTCTCCGATTCTACACAAAGAATACAAATTCTCTATAAAGACAAACAATTCTCTATTTGTTTTGTATAATAATTACCTGAAACCAAATTTTCACCTAAAATATTAAAACAAAAGAAAATATTTTAGTTTGTCATGTGATTTAAAATTAAACTAAAATCATGTTATGTTAGGTAATTAAAGTGAAAATCTAAATAAATATTATTTCTGAGTTTCGAGTTACAAAAGTGGAGATTGTCTATAGGATAAGTATGAGTATGACTCTCAATGTTTTATTTATTATACGAGTGAAACGGAATTAATTCTTTAATTATTTTAAGTAAATTCTGTATAGAAATGCTTTAATAGTCAGGAATAGGGATTTATGAAATCATTGAACAGAAATTACATAAATATTTCAAATTTTATGCTTAACTGCCCATCAATTGATGAGTTGTGAGAAATTCATGCAAAAAACGAGTGAAACAATTCTTAATTATATGAAATTTAATGAGAATACCGACAAAGCTTTTATTATTAGGACAAAAGAGTATATATCTCTCATAATTCTAATCGTTTCCTAATTAAATAAATATTAGTCTCAAAATGACTGAATGCCTATAACTTAATACAAAATCGATTTTAAAGAGCTTTAAATCAGTGATGCTTGATGAGTTTGAATAGAAGTACTCGTAATCACAATTCTATGAGTTAGTGATGGAGAGAGAGAGAGAGAGAGAGAGAGAGACCTGTGTTTCAGTGAGCCGTAGTGAGAGTGCGAGGTTGAGTCGCTCGCAAACCGACAAATATCTCGTTGTCTTGAATTTGTTTTCGAGAGCAACCAATTGCTCGTAAGTAAACGCAGTCCTCGCGCGCCGGGGTTTACCGCTCTTACTATCGTTCAATGATTTCTTCTTTTTGTTTGAATTACTAGAACTGCAGTTATTGTTGTTATCATTATTTGGACCACAATTCTTGCTATTTGTGGTCATAGATGTGGTTGAATTGGGAGAGACATCATTACTGCTTAAATTGCTGCTTTCCTTATCACTCGATTCCATCGGTGACATAACCCTACTGTCCATCTCTAGTGTCAGCTCTGAATGACTGTCTTTTGCAGAATCTAGTGATTAATTTTTTAAAACTATTTATTATTTTTGTTATCAATTATTTCAGTATAATTGTATTATTGTATCAGTGCAAACTAAATTATACGTATTCATGTTCTTATAATGTGAAAGTTAATTATTAATATAAATATAAATAATTTTGAAACACAATTAAAATGAAATGATTTCAAAACTAACACATAGTATATACCTCTCTCTTTACTAACATTATAATCAATTGATTGGATGTTTATCAATATACTGTACTCGTTTTGATAATTACATGATTTTTGTATAATTATAATCTCAATTTAGTACTGTGTAACTTGAATACTTAGTTCATAAATGATCCTTAATACCGGTATAACCTTTAATAAGTTTTAATTTTCACTAAACTATTTACTTACGGTAGGCTTACTTACTGTAGTAGTAAACTTATTTGACAATACTGTAGGATAAGCGCCTGCATAAAATTCCCAACTCAGTTAAGCTTAATCGATATTTATATAATAAGTTTTATTATAGAGTATCAATTTGTCTAATAAATATAATTACTAATGATCAATTAGATATTTTATTAAGAATATTGGTTTCATATAAATCATTTATCAAAATTACAAAACGTTATAAACATTTTGAAAAAATATTGTATAGTAAAATATGTCTAGTTAATATTTTAATTAATTTATAACAATTTAATTTGTTAACTAAAAACATTGCGAATAAAATAAAATCTCAGTTTATTGTATTATATCTAAAATTGCAACTTACAAATGTAAAACTTCATAAACTTCACAATTCTACATAGTGCACTTTTTTAGTTATTTACTGTACATTTCGCAGACTTCATAACAATTCAAATATTAATTATTTCTAGCATATCTTACAAATCTAAAGCATCTATGAAACTATGGCTCTTATTGCTCACTAAAAGTGTTGGCTCTGAAATGTCTGAAAGTCTAAAGATTTCGGCAAATATTCAAAGCATTAAAGAAATGATAAGAAGAAGTCATTTTGTCAGATCATATCAATTGCTTTACGTATCACTTGAGACCCATTTAAGAGCCTCGGAAACATGGATTAAAGCACTTTGGGTTTGGTTTTACATATGTTTTGACTCTCATAACCGAAACTTTGAGTGAATAAACAGTGATCTTAAGATGAGTTTATCAATCAGACGGATCTTTACCAAAGAAGTGCCGCAACCGTTACATTGGGTCTCAGTTTTTAAAAATATTTCATGCATTCGAGTAATTATAACCAAATCACACATTTCAACGCTTTATTGAAGGAATTTATTCAAGTTGTTGACTAACATTGTATTTGAATTATAGAGTTAACAAATACAATATTCTCAACATTCTATAAGATCTTTTTATATTATACTGTAATACAATACTTTGAGTATATTTTGAGTATATTCTATAAAATTCTAAATAAATTCTGTAGTAATAAACATATGTATGCCATAAAATAATCAAAATATGGATTCAGTGATTACCTGAGTTCTTAAAGTCCCGAAAAAGGTGTGAAGAACTTGTTTGTTGGTGGGAATGCTCTCCGCTTAGTACCCCCGATGCCACCGCCCAGGGATACCATGGGGTTTGCTTTCGGCCTAAATGATGACCGGGACTTAAGTGACACGTCGTGCCAAATACTGTTGGCACTAAAGATGTCGATGAGATTATAGGTTGGGGACGACATGTCAACACAGATTCTGAAAGGCAATTCAAATTAACTGATAAATAACACAAACACTTTGTATTAAAAAGAACTAGTTTAATTTTGATGACTAATTAATAGACAAAAAGTCATTAATCGAGAAATAGTTGTATTCACCGATAGATGGGTTGGCATCGGGTTTGGAGAACTTGGAGACGGGATCGTCTCTATTGAGAATACTAGTGATAGAGAAGGGAATCGACGGCTTGTTTATGACATTCTCGTCGTTCAGTT